GGTTTATGTTCTGGTTGCTATGGTTTTTGTAACGTTTAGCGTGTAGGGACGCACGCGCGCATAGAATGTCGATGCCAGAGTTATAACCTATGGCTACGTTCAGACCTGTGAGATACGCCAGGCGTATCTAACGCCGGGCGTACGTTAATCCATGGCGTAACTAGCGAGATGTCCAGACTGGGCGATTAATGAACGCTAGCGTAAGTATTCGCGCGAAATATTCGTATTCGTAATTCGCGCATTTTATTTTCTGTTTACATCTAGGTTTGGTTTGATTGGTCAAATCTTGGCTGAGTTCAAAATCACCGATGCATGACTGTCGTAAATCAGTGGCGTACGCTAATCTGGGGTCTGTTGCTGGATTACCGTACACCAGTGATTGCGCGATAATACTGGCGTTCGCTACGCCGCGCACAAGTTCACACCACTCGATTAACGTTACGCTAGCGTAAGTCGTTGTGTCTGAACATAGAGATATAATAAGAATACTAGCCTTTGATGTCCCGAGATGTGCGTCCTTTTGTTGAATTACCTTGGTGCAACACACGTCACGCGAATAGAGTTACTGCACGCGCCCACCTGGATTCCAACAATTGAATTAGCCTATGGAGACGGAACAAACCGCAATTAGCACCGTAATGTACTGGAGTTGAATCCCTCACTTAAAACATACAATTTTATCGTAATAATACACCGCACCGCAAACTGATCCCCAACCACAATTAATAAACACACAGCACCCATCCGATAACACGACAAAGGTGGCGCCAGGATTTGCCCGACCGGGGGGGGGGGGAACGGGGGCGATGCCCCCGACGAGGTGTCAGATTTCCTCGACGAAAGCAAAGTGGGCATGGTCGAGCTGCGATTAAAAGGTTCCGAAAGTGGTCCTTGGGCGAAGGCCCCGAAAATTTCGACAATTTAGGGGTTTCAAAGGCTTATTTAATCGATTTTAGAGTCTACTAATATGTAAAAAATACATAAATAATATGTTTTTTTATCTATTTGGAAAAATTCCCTTGTAATTTAATACACCCCTATTTAATGGGCTCCTCATCTTACGAGCTTTGATTTCGGAAAATTATCCTTAACTGTAATTTTTTTTTTCGGAAATTGTTTGATTATAATCACTTTCGCCTTTTAATTTATCTTTTGAATTTAATTGTAACTCTTTTTCCCTAAACCTATTATTTAAATACTGTATAATATTTCTGAATGTCAATATCAAAATTTATAATATATTTTTAAATAACCATTAAAGTAAAGTATTTTTGATATTGTAATATAACAACTTCAAAAATAATTTTGTCTAAATAATGTAGTTTGCATATAAACAAAATTTAATAGGCCTAATTGTATTTTTAACCTTGTAAATAAAAGAACTGCAATTCTTATTGTTTAAATTATATCTAATTTTTATACATTTTAAATTCTGAATTATCTAATAATAAAGCGTTTTTGATAATTTTAATGAATTTTAATTATAATTTTCTGTAATTTTTAAATTGTAAATTTTAATGTTATTCCTAAATTTTTCTTTGAGCCTGTTTTCCACTTGGCGAATATATTCGCGCAAATGAAAAGCGTTTGCTCATGCACATTCACATTTCTATCGGAGTTTTAGCTAGCGAAAAAAGGCGCAACCAATCAGAACTCAGGAAGCGAACCGACGCTTTGATTCGTAACCAGCTTAAGGCCAGTGGCGTAGAAAAATATTTTTCATTGGGGGGATGATTGGCGTGTTAGCCAGTGTCGTAACAGGCGCAAGAGGGGGGCAGGGGGAAACTGCCCCTCCCCTGGTGGTTTTTACCGGGCTGACCAAGCCGTCGTACCGGGCTGGGTAATAAGAGAAAAGAAAGAGGGGAGAGGGAGGGACAGAGAAAAAAGAGGAAAAGAAAAGGAAAGAAAAAGAGAAGAGAAAAATAAAGACAAGAATAAAAAGGAAGATATCATAATGACCAGACTCACAACACCCTGCAACCCCTTCTCCACTTCAAAAACTGTCATAACTCCTTTGATCTATGCTGCCCGATGGCGTAACCACTGGGGGGGGGGGGAAGGGGAAATATCTATCTTTGAAAAATCTTCCCCACCCCTTTATAAATGCCCTTTCATCCCCTGAAAGTGCCTAAAAACTTCAAATTTCGCGCGCATTTCTTGTTAACATGGCCCAATTTCCTCTAAAAATTGCACATTTTAGGGTGTTTTGATCAATTCCAACCGAAATTAAAATTAAAAACACAGGGGGACAAGGGGAAAATATCCATCTTTGGAAAATCTTTCTCCACCCCTTGACAAATGCATCCTCTGAAAGTGCCTAAAATTCTCAAATTCTTTTCGCGCATTTCCTGTTACGGTAGGCCAATTTCCTCTATAAATTGCACATTTTAGCGAGTTTTCATCTATTCCGACGAAATTAGAATTAAAAACACAAAAATATTTTGCGCGCTTGGCGCGCATTTTTTAGGGCTTTTTTAGTTTTATCCTTTTAAGTTATTTAAGCACATAATAGTCCCAAATTCAAGAAAGACAAATTTAAGATATGTCATTTTAACCTAAAAGAATTGAAGGGCCTCAATGTGTATAGATGGTGAAAGAATATGTTTGTAATAAATAAAACCATGATGAAAATGCTTATATTTAGTTTCAAACACACGTGTGTGGCCGATATTATAAATAAGATAAGCCCTATGTCGTATTGTTTTCTACCGGAGTGGGGTGGTGGGGTGGGTATGGTAAATTACTAACCGGGAAATGAGGATTGTATGTTTATTATGATTATTATGATTATTATTATTATGATTATGATTATGATTATGATTATGATTATGATTATGATTATGATTATGATTATTATTATTATTATTATTATTATTATTGTTATCATTATTATTATGTTGTAATGATGTTGTTTGTACTGTTCTTTAATTTTATTAAAGAGGGCCCCTGAATATCAGTTAACCTACTGGGCTAAACTAGAAGGGTTACCCTCTTTAAAGATGGTTGAAATAAAAAATTAAAAATAATAAATACCCACTCTGACCCAAGACCCCTGTTACACACCCTTCAGTGTGAAATGTGGCTCTCTTTGCAAGCACATCTAACATCTAAAGAAAGAAGAGCTTAGATTGGTACCAGATAAAATAATTTTGTTATCAACATAATACATCTTTGTAAGCGCATAAGACAGTGCAAATTATATCTGTGACAGTCTTTTGAAGTGTGTAAAGCTCCATATCCCATACAGTCAAAATATTGGGGAAATGATACAATGGACCATCCCCTTGTCAAATATTGGGGATATATCCCATCTCCCCCCCCCCCCCCCCCCGGATCTACGCCTATGCTTAAGGCTGGTTTTCCACTATTCGAATTTATTCGCTCTAATAAAAGCGTTCCTGAGCTCTGATTGTTTGTGCAATTTTTTGCTTCGCAAAAACTCCGATAGGAATGTGAATGCGCATTAACCGACGCTTTCGATTCGCACTAATAAATTCGTCTAGTGGAAAACCAGCTTAATGTCGACTGACCTTGATAGGAACACGCGCAGTCGCAACTACGAATTAAGCTTATTCTTATTATCTATGGCTTAATCAAAACTACCAGCTACCGCGCGCTGCTGCTCTACGATCATGCCCACACAACACGTGGGTGGAGTCACAGCATGGCCACCTGGATTCGAATAAGCGCATGCGGGTCGTCAGCAGACGAAGAGGGCGATATGCGAGATGCCTAGACACCAGAAACACAATCTCAATACAGTACTGTACTGCAAGCCCTCTCGCTTAAGAGTCCTAACACCACCGCCGCCGCTCCTCAACCACACAGCACCCACGTATAACGACGCAGTAGTACAGTACAAGCAAAAGACAAAAATCAATTTCACATTTTATTGACGATGCAAACTACAGTATACAATTTACAAAACAAGGAAGCAAGACTACTGATTAAAAGCTCTTCTTTGGAAACTGTCATTATTGTATACGGTATTTACAGACTACCTACGTTTGAATATCAATCAATACTCAAAATGTACTTCTATCTGAATGTAACAGATACCAACCAACATACTTATAATAGGCTGGAATGACATTTTTGTTTCTTTTTGAGCAATAATTTGTTATAAAATTAATAAACATCTTTTTAATTACATTACAGTATATACATGGACCCTTTCAGACTTAGCCGACAATAAGGGATAGAACACGTTGTTTTGTGTGACCTTGGAAATATTGAAAGATGCAGCCTGTAAACTTTCATGTCTTTTTAAATTTGTTCTAAATCTCTTAATGACATCATGCCCGTAGGTGTGATGTCATCACGAGAAATAAGGAATTTTTTAAACAGAAAATTTGATAATAATGTAGTGCAGAATCTTCAGTATTTTACTTCTTTTTATGTCCCATTTCCTTCAACTGACCCTTTACAGCAAGTACTTCTTGTAACAGGTCCTTTAGGTATTTGATTTCTTTTGTCATTGACTCTACAGTGTCTTTTAATTCTACATTCCGTTTTTCTAATCCGTCGAGTTCACATTTTGTGGACTGTGCCAGTGATCTTTTTTTCTCACGATATCTTGTGGCTGCTTGTTTGTTCTGATCTTTTTTCCTTTCCTTCCTTGAGGGTTTAACTGTGCCACTTGCAGTTTTAAGGACCGACCTCGCTCTTGATTTTGATGGCTTGGGTTCTATCGCTTTAGTTTCTATAGTTGAAAGAGGGCTGATGGGATTATCCGAAACTGAGGAGCAAACAGAGGATGCTGGGGATCCTGCAGCAAATAGAGCCATCTCCTCAGAATCAGGGGAGCCAGGGGAAAATACAGGTGCATCCATGTTCTCAGGAGATTCTGGAGAGCCAAAGACAAACACAGCCACATCCTCAGAGGATGTAGCACTAGATAAACCCGATGTGGCACCTACAGCTTCCCACACTTCGTCATTGCTAAATTCAGTCAATGCATCAGCAAGTGAATCTTCCTGGGTATTGGTCTCTTGAATAGGAAGAGGCTGCAATGGCGAGACTGATTCTGCAACGAGCTGGTTAAGGAGATCCAGGTCAGAAAGCTCCGATTTTCCATCCTTTTCTACCAAAACCTCCAATGGAGGGAGCAATGGCGGAATATCTGCTACAGATTCATCTGACAGTTCCTGGATATCCTCCAGGAAGTTGAGGTTTACCTTCTCAGACATCCATTTGGGAAACAGCATGTCATCTGTAAGCAAATCAAAGATTAAAACTAAAATTTTAATACATTTGTTATCACATACTCGTCAGACTTTCGGTAAAGCAACTTTGTCATGGCGAGGCAAAACTGGCAGGCCCAGTTTGATGATTTTTAATTTTACTATTTCAATTGCAGAACAGAATTTACCTGTTGGATACATGGAGTCAAGCTGGTCCAAGAGATTCCCAGCTGGGCCGATCAAGTCGGACAATTCCATGTCATCTTGGACGTCTTTCACGCATACCTTCTGATCATGAGGAGAGAAGAGCTCTAGCTCCTCCTCGAACATCCACTGGTCGTAGTCCATTGTTGTAGTCATCATGCACATGTGATTTCTTCTCTTGTTGAGTATATAGTTCAGTTAACTGGTTGGTTTCCATTTTGAATTGCCTAAAAGAAGAAACCATCATATTAGTCAATACAGTATTAATTATTTATTATAAACCTAGGCTCAAAACAAGAGTGAACGTCAGAATATGTTGCCATTAATTTTTTTTTTTCCCTTTGGAAGAGACATCTGGTTGATTCGCTGCCACATCATAACAAACATCACTCACAAGACAATCACACCACCACATTGCTACAACACAAACTGTACCCGACCCAGTCACCTGCTTTGCTTTGCTTTTTTCCAATCAAAATCATTATAAAAAATAATTATAAATTGTATACTTACGCCATGGTGACGTTGCACCGAGAATTTGCTGAGCAATGCCTAGAGTGCGGTACGAAATTTTAAAACGCCATTTTGCCCTTTGGAGCAACGGTTGTAAACTTCTTTGATAGAGAGCAAATACAAGAATGCTGAGTTGACCGATAGTGCGCGAAATCCAGACGTGTATTGCTGGCCTCATAACTTAGAGCCCATCGATGCAATATCAATCCGCAACTAAAAAATTAATAATTTCACCGTTATTTACAACAATGTGTAATTATCGAATAGCCAAAATGATAACACAAAATTTAACAACAATCACTGTTAACCCAATATTGCTCTTATTGTAATCTAATTTATCAGAAATATTTTACTTTATTTACGCGTAAATATCCATACTATGTACGTAAACAGGAAAGGGGACGTTTCATTGCTACAATTCATTGCATCAGCCACTACAATCTGTTGACAGCACTTAGCTCCTATTGGTCACTCATCAATTACGTTGGTACTGTTCACGTGAACATGTTGCATTGATTGGTCAGCTTGCAGAATGACGTCATTTTTCTAAATTTAGACCACAACCATGTGATCGATGCTCCGTACTACGACGGAAATCAGGTTGGGACTGGTTTGTTTTGTTATTTGTGTGACGTGGGTGTTTGTTTTTTTTCTTTTTCCTTCCACCACCTACAGCTCAAGTGAGTATTGTACCGTGTTGTACCAAGGAGGTATAAAAATAATTTCACATGTGATTGTGACAAAAAGAATGCATTATTTTGCTCAAAAGTATGAATAGTAAAAATACTGTAGAGTGTTTCCCCAATTCATTGGACCCCTTTAGTACCAACTGTCCTCTTCATATACAGTATACTCTTTAATATAATAGATGACCCCTTAATGTTTTGTTGGTTGCCTGAGCTGAGACAGGGGTTGAGATAGGTCCCCCCCACCCCAAATGAGAATTTTTTTCTGGATGGCTGGAAATGACTCTCAGACTGTGACAGACATGTGTTGGCTTGGTGTGGACCTATTTACGTATAAATATTTTTTTTATGATCTGACTGCCCGACAAGCTCTGTCCGACGGGGGCTTGACCTGTTTAGTGGGGACTTAAGCCCGTCCCCACGCTGATGCCACCACTGATCAGCTCCCACCCCATTTAAAAACTCTTACATACGCCACTGCAACCTCGCCCGATGAAAATAAGGTCTCCCTCTAATTAACAACCCCTCAAATTAAAAACTACATCAAATTAAATACCACTTTTCTATGGTCCCAAACTTACAAATATATTTCATCTTTGTTATTCTAAAGAGCATAAAAACTCTGGTTCCGAAAGGGTCTTTAATTGGAGGGTGACCTGTAGTTCCTTTCCTTGGGGGGGGGGGGGGGGGGGAAGGGGAGACAAACTTGCAGCACCAATGTATTAGACGTTACTGACTAGCTCACACACAACACCCGCAATATTATAATAAAGAAACAATAAAACAAGTGAATTCCAAAGGTTTAGATTTTGTATTTTTTTTTTCACATAACTAAACACAAAAGCTTCACTAGGCCATCTTGACAATTTTTTTGAAACAGTACAAAATCATTTATCTTACCCAAGATACCTTCTGTCAAATCATTCACAAAAATATAATATAAGCAACTTAAAAAATTTAGCCAAACAGATCTTCCACCAAAATTTCATTTCGATTCAAGGAAAGAGATACTTATTTGCTGGTTAAGCTTTGATGTGTGGAAGAATTTCTAAAAACATCTGTCAGTGAAGAATTTGCAAACAATGATATACTAAGGAATAATTATACATTGAAAAATCTACATTTTGTATATATACCAGGAGTTTTTCACAGCCTAAAAAAAAACTTATAAAATGACAGGCATAATACAAGAATTTCACACTACAATATGAACTCTTTATGAATTTATCACTCAGGTAAACACTAAAATAAAAAAATTATAAACATCTCTAAATGCCAGGCACATTTATCTTCCAAAAAAAACAATTAAATAAATTAAATAATAAAAAATATTATCACAGAATTGTTTAAGTTATCACACCATTTTTATCAATGTAAAATTTGTTTAAGTTTATATATATGTAATCATATATATATATATAATGAATATGTATATATACATTATATATATAAATATATACATACATAATATATACATATATATGTGTATATATATAATAGAATCCGATGTAGTACATATAAATACAGTATTCATAGAAAATGAAGCGCTTCTCATTGAGCCTGATTCTTGTAGGATATTATTCTTAGTTAATACTATCATTTAATTCTACAATTTATTACTCACAATTAGTTTAAAATAACATGACAATTATGGGAACAAATACTATCATGAAATTCATTGACAAACACCGGTAAGAAGTTTCTATTTAATAGTAATTACAATTAAATATTCCCCCCAAAAAACTTCAGGTCAGTGGATAATTCTTTACACCACACAGAATAGGAAATATCAAACATAAGTACCGTTCAATAAAACCTACAAAAACTGAATTTAAAAAGGTTAACTCTCATGTTTTTTTTATAATTATATATTAATAAATAACATTAATAAAATAATACACAAGCATTTACAATATTAGCAAAGAGTATCAAAAACCAGAGCTAAAAAATCTGAACCAGTCCATATCAATTAAAAGTGCATTAACATTTACTGGTAATTAATGAACACAACATTTTCAAGTTTTTTTTGTATCTGTATACAGGTGTGAAATGACAGCATCATGCCAATATATGAACATGTGTGTCCCATAAAACTTAATTATGACATCATCAGTGTAACTCAATGTAATTTTAATATTCCCAACCATGCTTAGTGCATGGTTTGTTATATTTTTTAGTGTAGACAGATATTTAATCAGATAAATATTTCAATGTAGATTGGACTACAAGATAACATTAAATTTATTTAACTTGACATCTTTATTCGTTCGTTATATGGAGATTTCTAATTAAAATTTAAAAAAAATTAAAAAATCAATAATAAAATAAATGAATGGATGTCTGAGACATTTCATTATCAGTAATGCTATGAAAATCCACTGTCAGAATTAATTAATTTTTCTACAGAAATAATATTAGGGAAGATTGTATGGTATTAGAAACGTTGATGAACTTATGGTTTTATAAGTTAATTACTACAGCTAATTATGATATTCAGAGGTAAAAAATGTTGGAACCAATGTACTAAAAAAGTACAAGAATATCTTTCAATGAATATACGAATAAAGTACAATTCCTAAACATAATTCTGTCATTAGTCTTCAATTTGGTATTGAAGCTGTTTAGTTCAAATTGAAATAAATCTGTAAGAATCTCTTGTTAAAAAAACTGAATAACCTATTTTGGTAAAATGGATAACAACAGAACTTATAATTTCATGCATGCAACATTTGGTAGCAGACGAATGCCAAGCAAACATTCTCACAATAAAATACTGTATCTTTTATTTGCTCAAATAAGGGGATGATGATGTCATATGACACCCATACATGGGAAAATCACAGGTACCTCATTTCGCGGACATACTCTGAAAACTCGTTAGTATAAAATGGGTGAAAAAATTTGGAGGAAACTTTAAGAATTCTACAAAGCTCAGCTGCTGTTGCCTGCTAAATGTTATATGTCAATTTTGAAGGAAGGGCTCAACATTTAATACTATTCACATCAAAATAAACAAATAACAATATAATAATTAAAAGCAATAAGGATTTTATACAGAGCAATAAATTACATAAAAACAGAAGAAATAAAACATGTTGATTAAAAAAACACTATTATAAAAACTACACTAGATGGGAACAAGAGCAAGGAATGTTGGGTAATAAAAGTAAAAGAACACAGGTAGCGTCCATAAAAAACATTTAAAAATACGATATTAGAAGTACAGTAAAATAATAGAATTTCGGAAAATTTACCACTAAAATAAAATATATGTATTCTAAAAAAATAATCTAGAAACTAACTCTGGTAAAGAATTTCTTTTGATGTAAATGAAATTATAAACATTACTTTTTTTGTTGTAAATAGGATTTTAACATCAACCGTACTGACACACATTTATATGCTTATTTATTGGCTTGAGAGTTTGTGGATCAGAATCTTTCTAATATTTGTAACTCAGATAAAAACTGTTAAATTACAGCAAATCAATTGATACAAATTTGGGATACAAGAATTATTATTTTTTTTAAATTGAAAAATAAACAGCTCAAATAATCAGAATTGTAACGAAAAAGGAGACCCAGGAAATTTTGTTTAGTCAGTTTGTACACAAAAAGGAATCATTATAAATTGTTGGAACTGCAATAGTTTAAGTTAAAAAGTGTTATTTGTGAATTTTACAGAATAATTTTCACGGGTTTCAATACATGTATTTTGGTCATAAAGCTCCAGGTCTCTGTTCAAAAGCAAACCCCACCTGGACACAATTTGATGTCCAGTAAGGTGTGGGATGGCTTATATCAGTCTTAATACAGTGTGGACGTCCAACTACACAGAAAAAGGTTAAACGTAAATGCATGATAGAAGATGAAAAAAAAAAAAAAAGCAAATATTTGTAGATGTATAATCTGTGATGAGTTAAAAAAAACCTTAAAAATTAAATCAATATTCAAATTTTGAACATAATTTATTACATAAGTTATTGCCTTCCAATAACTAATTCGAACTAAAACAAAAATTGATTCAAATTCAAAAAATGTTCTTTACAATAAAGGGATGCAAACATTCCTTTGTACAGAACTTTAAATTGGCTAGTAATCAATTTTCTTGTAGAAACAAAATTGAATGACTAGACAAAATTGAATAACTTTATATTTCTTATTTGAATTTTTAAGGTTTTTTTCCCCAGGACCTCACCACAAACAATATATCCTAAAGGAAAAATTAAACAAATTTTATTATATAGTAAAAAAATATCACTGACAAAATTCCTAGGAAAATTTAAAACATGGATTATTTTTCAACTAATAACACTATTTTTTAATTTTTAACTACTTGTAAGACTTAAGAACATATGCATTTCGTCAAATTCATTATACTGTACTATTGAATATTTGGTCTTCAATAACTAAAATATCAACACAAAAATGCAACATACAAATTCATATTTTGTATATAAAGTTAACTACACATATAGTGGTGGGTAACATTACGTTATTTTGGGGTTACACTGTGATACTTTCATGATGTCATCGAAAAAAGCAAATATTAAACAAAGAAAATAACGTTTATAGATTTGGATATAGCCATTTATGACTAAACCCCTGTCCACACTTATCAGGTTTTCTGCGACATATACATGTGATATGGTATGCCCATATATGGGTGTGATATGAAATCATCATGCCTATATAAGGGCAAATCAAAAACATTTGTGACAGAAAAAATGAGTGTTGACAGACCTTTAATCATTTTCATTTACATCGAACCATTAACAATTACGTATCCTGATCATTTCTCACCAATTGTGGACAATAACTTAAAAGCAATTCAAATTGTATGCAATCCCGTAAGGCTAGCGGGATTTTAAGGAATAAATAAATGAAATCAAATATATTTTAATATTGACAGCAAAACAAGAAAAATCATAGAAAAATCACACTAGAATGAGATATTTGAGCGTTTCTGTTACCAATTATGTGCAAAAATTACATTCAATTACGTGTAATTGGTACCCTTCGCATATACTTTCAAGAAAGCAAGCGATTCTCTCTTCAGCTCTCAAAATATAAAACCGAATATTAATACAGCAGCAATTTCCAACTGTTATATAGCAGTTAGCTCACAAAATCGAAACAAATTTGCTTGATTAAATGCAAAGGAATCAAACCTGAACATTTACAAAGACAAGAGAACTTATTTAAAAACCAGCATATATATTCCAAGGGGTTCACTATAGTGTTTAATACAGGTCTCCTTCTAATGAAAGACTCCTCCAATTAAAGACCATTTTTCTGTGGTCCCAAAATTAACATGTCTTTTATTTTTATTATTCTAATTAGAGACCAAAGCTGCTGAAGACCATGAAAACCCCGGTCCCAAAAGTGGTCTTTAATTGGAGGGAAACCTGTATCTGTAAAGGTTTCCATGCAGAAAATTACACCATGTTTGCCATACAAGACACTTTTATGTGGTTTAGTACCATAGTAAAAATATGAATGCTTGTGTGCGCAAATTAGTCAATATTCCACTACTGTCATAGAGTCATGGCTTCAACACTATAAAATATACACTAAAACACAGAACAAATTAAATAAAGTAAAGCAAAATAGTTGTTCCAATGAGCAACCATGAAAATATCATAACGATAAGTCTAATAGTCATTCAAATGCATTTAAGCTATGAATCTATTTGTCCGGTTGCGATTGCTTTAGCAGATTTTCTTCAATAGATGCACTATGCGCTAACATCTGATAGGAATACTGAATATAAATGCATGCTATCGCCGAGGCGTGTGCACTGATTTAGTAAATTAATGTCGACCCTCCTCTGCTCAGCAACGGACCATTCCAAAGTTACAATGAAATAACCAATCAATAAAAATTACAGTATTCAATAGGCATGGCCAGGATTAGTGTATTTCACACATCCTACAATTAGCCATGATCCTCTATGAATGGCTGACGTACTGTGCGGCCTTGGCAACAATATCTAAGGGGAGTTGACTTATCAGAACGGTTCAATGCAGGCACTTTATACCTTACACAACTATTTTGCTGAGTTGACCCTCGGGTATTTTTATACCAATATCAAAGACCTTATAAACAAAAGAGAACATTCTCCACGATTTCTGTGTGCAAATTCTGTAATAATGCAGTGTATGGCGCCCTCTTACAAGCGATTACTTCTTAACGTTGAATACTTTGACCATAACGTACACCGCACGACTTTACCTTTACGCGTATCAATTAAAAGTGTCGATTTACAATGCGCACTCTCTTTAAAACGACAATAAGGAACAAAAATGTACTTGGTAACAAACACCTTCCATGGCATGGCAACAACTAGGATGCCCTCTCTCAAAAGTGATTACTTTTCTGCCAAATCGATGCTTCTATTTTGTTACGCGTACATTGCGGAGAACTCTATCTTGTGTTTATAAGATCTCTGACCAATATTCATTTAATGAAAATATTTTTGGTAGGTGGTGGAGATTTTAATTCCGTAAAAATCTCACATAGTATGATGGAAAGATGCAACTTAAATGTCAACTTGGCTGGTAAAAACTACAGTAAGTGAAAATGATCAAATTTGTTATTTTATATATATATATATCTGTCTCTTATACACATCTAGATGTGTATAAGAGACAGCCATTAGACCCTTAGTTCCTTGTTTAAATAAAAACAATAATCTTAATTTTGCAGACGTTTCTCAATTGTTATCCAAAAGTTAATAATTTGATTTGTTAATCATCTATTTGAAAAATAACTAAAAGGCATTTTAAAGCATGATATATTTCTGCTTTCTCCTTAAAAGGAGAAATAATAAACATCAAATATATGAATAAAGTTTAAAATAATATTTAAAAAAATAAACATAACCAAATTCTAAAACATAGTATTATATCTAATAAGGAACAAAATTAAAATAATGAATATTCATCACCAACTGGCCACATGATGTAAATTTTAAAAATTCATCTATTTTTTAAGGGAACCAATCACGTTGGGCCTCTGTTCTATCATATCACCCTGACGACGTAACCCTGACTAGCAAGCAAATTTATAAATGAATAGTAATCCTTTGTACTACATGGCCGTGACAAATACTACAGGTTGATTTATTCGGGGCGCATAATTCACAGAACACAAGGTGATAACACGGCGCTACAACCACGTTGCGTGCTTTGTCTTGACAACCGTAACAGCTAGATCCTTCTCGTATGTGAATTACCTGAGAAAGTAAATAAATAATTGTATTTATTGGTTTATTTATTTTTAGTACAAGTTAACACAGGGGTTGATTTCATCGCAGAGTTGCACAAGTTCTCTAAATTAAAAACTTGTGATCTAATTCGCTTGGGAAATGACCTCTATACGAGCTTACTACATGTTAGCTACAAGTGAGGTACGACCTTACAGAGTTGATTACGAGTTATGTACGAATTATTCCAAGAAGCACCAATTTACTATGAGATTTACAAGAATATTACGAGCGTAACGAGTTTGTACCGAATTAGATACAAGTTAGGTATGAGCATTCTGATTAAATGTTCCTGGTGATCGTAACCAACTCGGTGCGCTTGTACTGGTTTTCAGGGGGACAATTGATAATATGGTAGAAAAAACATGCAGATATCGGAGAATTTTCAGGAAATAATATGTTAGTTTCTGGCAGATTTTTGCTTGCTTACAGTTCTGTGTGAGACCGTCTCAATATTCGATTGACTCCTGCAACTAGGGATCCCTGTATTAACATAATTACAAATTTCAAACACTACAGATGTGATTGTAATGCGACAGAGTGCGCGGGACAGATCAGTTTCAATGTCGAAAACAATCAGCATACAGTGTAGGGTCACCGATCACTAACACTCAGTAACGATGCATTTGCCGGCTGATGAAACGTGTGCCCATGATTTTAATCCTTATTACAGCATTTAAAATTTTTATCTAAAAGCTTTGAAGAAGTGGGCAACTTACCTTTTCTAATTTATCAAGATCTGATCTCAACTGAAGTTGTAATGACTTTAATTTATGTAGAGGAAGCCCTTTAAGATCTGATGTACGGTTGAGTACATGTAAATGAGGCCCTCCACTCAGCCCTTCAATTTCAAGTTTTAAAACCTTAGCTTCTTCCTTAGCCTAGAAAAAAAAGGAAAAATGTTAGTTAAGGAACTAATTTTTTAAAATTCTCGAAACAACAGAGAAGTGGCATCAAGATCAAAAAATATATCAGGTTAAAAGACTCTTGCAACATTTGTCATGAAATCAAAACAAACCAGAATGAACAAACTGTGCAAGACATGCTATGTGCAAATGTTTTATTCCACCAACACCTCTAACCACCAGTCCAACGCTGGGAACTCAATGCATTCTACAACTGTCGTACAACTGCCGGCCGACAAATCCAACTTCTTTTCGTTTGAGGACGCGACTGAATTGTCCCTGGCAGTAGGGACGGATCCACTATTCATAGAATAGCGTCAGCGTACGACCGTCGGACAGTGAGTGCTCAGGTTTGGACAACAGCAATAACAAATGTGTCAAGTAATGATGGAATGATTGTGTCGTATACTTTAAAAACAAATTTATATAAATAACTAAAAAATAGTTTGAAGCTCTGCCCACACTATCAAATAAATATGATATGCCCATATTTGGATGTAATATGAGATCATCATGCCTATGGTGATGAGAGGTTGGCAACACAGACCCCCGTCATTTTGCTAGGTTCTCTGTAAACTTATGATTCGTGTATGTTGAGGAATGATAAAGGAAGGCTTACTTCTTCCTTTGCCTGGACAAGGGCTTGCTTTTCCAGATCAGCTGCTTTAGCTTTTTCATTAGAATCAGAAGCCTCTTTCTTCCATGCATCACATGCCTATCAGAGAAACAACATGCAGGTTAGAAATCAGCATTACCATGGTAGCATCATACCATTATATTACCATGGTAACATCATAACACAACTTTGCCATGGTAACATCACAACATGATATTACCATGTAAAATATCACCTCAACAACAGCTTAACTTTATATTACAATGGTTACATTATACAATTATTATCACAGTATTGAATTACAACATTATTTTACCATGGTAACATAATATTTTATCACCATAGTAACACTATATTACCATGGCAACATCACAGCAATCTAAAGTGATCTTTGATTTAAAGTAGAATTAAAAAAAATGTATACTACTGTTAAGTATTGTAAATGCACATCATACTAGATATAATTTCAATCATACAAAAGATGAATAGAGTAGAGAAACATACTCAATAACTTATTAGTACTCCAGTGGAATTTACAAAAAGTGAGAAAAATAGCCATGCATCAACCGTTCCTGTTGCTTCCTTCACTCCAAAATCATCAGTTATAAACATTGATTGGGTATGAAACTGTGCCCTTCCAGTGTATTACTTATCCTTTAAATTTGATGGGTATTATAAAAACTGATCCCTTCTTATGTGTTATCAAATTTTTCAAACCCTGTGTTCTCAGGACTAATGACAGAATGTGATTGGGTATTGTAAAAATTGTGCCCTTTCTATGTGTTACCAAATTTCAAAATCCAGTCTTCTCATGACAAATGGTGGAATTGGGTATTGTAAAGACTGAGCCATTCCTATGTGTTAGCAAACTTTCAAATTCCTGGGTTCTCATGACTAATGATGGAATTTAATTGGGTATTATAAAGACTGAGCCTTTCCTATATGTTACCAAACTTTCAAAATCCAATGTTCACATGACAAATAATAGAATGTGATTGGGTATTGTAAAAATTGTGCCCTTTCTATGTGTTACCAAACTCTCAAATTCCAGGATTCTCATGACTAATGATGGAATTAGATGGGTATTGTAAAAATTGTGCCCTTCCTATGTGTTACCAAACTTTCAAAATCCAATGTTCTCATGACAAATGATGGAATGTGATTGGGTATTATAAAAATTGTGCCCTTTCTATGTGTTACTAAACTTTCAAATTCCAGGATTCTCATGACTGATGATGGAATTAGATGGGTATTGTAAAAATTGTGCCCTTCTGATGTGTTCCCAAACTTTCAAAATCTAGTGTTCTCATGACAAAGGATGGAATGTGATTGGGTATTGTTAAAGTTGTGCCCTTCCTGTGTTAGCAAAATTTTGAATCCCTGTCTTCTCATGATTTATGACAATGTATTTCAAACAACTGAGCTTTTCATGTGTTACCATACTTTTCAAACCCTATGATGGAATGTGATTCAGTAATTAACTACAGAAATTACTTCAAACTTTTTCTCTTGCAAATCTCAACCAAAGTTCTTACCTGCTTTGCTTGGTTCCATGATTCCTCCCAGCTTTGCAATTTGTTCTTTAGAATAATTACTTCTTCCTGTAACCTTTGAACTTCACCATTCGATAATGTTGTGCTTGTAGACATCGTGGTAAGCAGCGGCGATTGCGGACCACGAGAAGGAGAACATGACGTACCTATATTATCCATCATCCCAAGTTTGTGCAGATTCGGCAATGGATTTGGTTGACTAAAGAAAGCATTTTTCGCTGCCTGTCAACAGAGAAATGTATAATTTAAATAGATTTAGATTAATATTATTCATAACATAAAAACAATATGAACCTGTCTGCCGATTATCAGTAGCCTAGTGGTCTGAACGCATCGTCATTAAAAACGATCCGTTGTGCGAGCGCTGTGGGGTTGCATTCTCCATGGAATCGCATCAACGGCCTGCCGTCGCCGTGCACAGTGAGTGACCAGCTTAACTATAACATTGTTAAATCGTAAAACTGATTGCACTTGAATCTAAATATGCAGAGGCTTTTAATATAATAGGTAGTTTTCCCCGCATGACGTTAACCTTAATGGATGAATTTATTCATCTGGAGCTGCGAAGTATGTTAACTTCAGGATTTTATGTGCTCGACATGTTAGCTACGGGTTTACATAACTTAAGCGCATGCGTATTTTTATTTGTTTACAGAAGAGGCGGAGTTTTGCGTTGCATGTTGGGTACTAACGTTAACGTTGTGAGGCAAAAACTACCTAGTAAGATTTTGTGTATGCATGGTTCATGTAGTCGTGAAAGGTTCAGCAATGTGTTTGGTGTTAAGCCCCTGTCCGGACTATCATAGCTTATTTGACAAAAACTGCTGGATGCCTGATGTCATAACCATATTTAGCCATATCACATGTTATTGTGTTGTGGGCAGGGGTTTAGCAAGTCGCACTGTTTTCAAGGGACTTTTCTGTTTAGAAAAACAGCATGGTTATTCATACTGGCCGATTATTGTGCGGTCTGGGTGATTTGACCAAGAAAGTTGTTCATGCTGTTCACACTGTGGCGTTTTATTTTTGTTTAACTGACCAGATACATGCTTAGTGTGACTGAAAACAAAAGTCAATATGAAAAGGGCTTTAGAAAGTGGAGCTCCCTGAAAAAAAAATCAAAAAAATCACTGTCTCAAAGCATTTGAATCCGGAACTTTGAGATTGGAATGGAAGGTAAACATCATAACTAGAGGCTAACAATAGCATATATTGTTTAAATAAACAAAGCACATTAATTGTTCTTACTATTTCTATTTGTTGCTGCTGCTGAATATGTTGAGGAACAAATGCAGGTGGAAGAGAATTGAGGGGCGAGCCAGGACTCTCGGATATAGTAGTCTTTTGACTCAAACAGCTAGTAGACATAGGAATATTCACAGGGGCAGTACTGCTTAGAAGACCTAACAATTAGAGAAAAACATCATATCAGATCATATATAGTATATATACTATCTCTCCAAATTAAAATTCTCTATTTGTCAACAATATTTAAAATACAACAAGATAAATATATGCAAAAATAATAAATGCGTGCTCCAAATAATGATTTTTTCCCTTTAAATTTAAAAACAGTTGACCCCCCCAAATGACTGTAAATAAAACTATTGGAAGCAACATCATTATCAACACATTCTAATTATATTCTACTCCAGTAGATTTACATTATTCTAACCTAGTTAGGATTAATAAATCTTTATGATTATGCAATAACACATTTTGGCAGTAAATATGTGTTGTAGTCCTATATTTACAGTAAGCGGTGTTTATTTGAGTATATTATACGTATCCATTTCACATCTAAAAAAGTGAACGTCTCCCTTGAATAAACATGTCCTCGAAAGCCTTTCTCAACAATAACCACCCCTGGGTGTTATCCGTTAAAAAAACATAATTCAGAGGTTTTTGTCTTTTTTTCCAGATTGTAACACAAAAATGCCTTAATTACCAAGTAACACATTTACTTTCCCTTCAGAGCATAATAAATAAAACCAAATGTTCCAATCATCGATTCAACTTATTTTTTGTTATTATTGTCATATAAAACATAAACTTTAAAACTCACTTAAATGACCAAGGCTTGCACTAGAACTGCCTACTGAAGATCCATCGTTATCACCTATTAACTCCCTATCAAAATTTGTAACATCTTCTATTGAAATATCATCCAAAGCATTACCTGTTAAGATAAAAAACACAATGCATCATCAACAAACTTTACGTAAAAACTAGTAAATCTATGTTGATATTGTCAGTGTTTTAATTTACAGTGAATAGTATTGATTTTTCATAGTAATACTATTAAACATCAGAGAGTAAATAGTAATGTCTACTGCATTGCATATAAATTTAATACAACCTGGTTGACAATGTTCCATCAGACTATTAACATCACTATTAAATTATTTGAATGTTTCCAAATATGATATTGATATCAAAGATTACTATACCATCTTATGTCAAGGGGTTTTCTCTTTTTGGAGAGAATAGACAATTAGTAGGTTTATCCAGGTAAGTATACATGAAGTACATGACTGAGTATGACATTTGAATGTTCACAAAAAATATTGAAGATGACTGTTCCATTTTTATGTCAAGGGGTATTCTCATTTGGGAGAGAACAGCTAATTAGATGCGACTGAATGAGCATGCTTACCAACAACAGAGCCGACAGTATCACTAGGTGGGTAGAAAGGTGTTGCGTTTACTGACATGCTAGAGGGACTCGGTGTCCCGGGACTAGGGAGGCCACAATTTGAAATACTAGATGCGAACGGGCTACCAGGTGAGATGTTGTGTGACATCAGTAGGTTTTGTTTCCTTCTATTCTTCTCCTGGCTGTCTATTGTAACATCATTATCAACATTCTGAAGAAGTTTCTTTAGATTTGTCTGAAATTTCAGAGAAAAAAAAAGGCATTTAAATAATATCACATGATTTGGATGTACACAAACACACACTTTATGTGGTCATTTTGTGGCACCTTAAAAAGATGAGGCTTACTGAAACGGTCCATTGTTTAGCGTACACTCACAAACTCGACAAAGCGTAGAACTGCAGTCGGATGTATTAAATTTTTTCTTTACACAAGCACCGTTACAATGTTGCAGCAAGGATTTTCAAACAGTGTAGGACAATATTCAGGCTGGACCAACTTTGCGAGTAAATTCAAATAATATGGACCCATTTTCTTAAAAAGCTCACCCATTTTACGCAAAAATATGAACAATTTGGACCCATTTTCTTAAAAGTTGAACCATTCTACGAAATATATCTGGACCCATTTTGTGCATAAAACAGCATAATTTAGATTAATTTTAAATAATGTGGACCCATTCTTTGTGGACACAATAGAACAACTGTGTGGGACCTTCCCAACTGTCCAAATAGCTGGCTACTGCATTGCCACCGTAGGGCTTATACTTTACATAAAATGTCTGGTACTAGAGGAATCTCGTTCATGAATCAGTTTGAAAACTGAACCACCACACTACTCTCTCTTGAATGTATTACTTTACTTCATTTAAATATTTTCCATAATATTTTATCCCTTACCAGCGTATCTTCACGTTCAGAACCAGGTGCTTTCTGATAGGATCCACTTTCAGATGAATAATTACTAGATTGACTGTTGGAACGAGGCTTCCCTATTGGTCCAAGATTATTGGGGCCAGTTGAGCCGCCATTAGTTGTGACTACCATGTTAGACGGCTATGGAAAGAGCAAACCAATCAATTACTTGTTAGCACAGCTTTTGTTGGTACAGTTCAACGTTCATTACATACGGTAATTGATAAAAATATGGCTTCCACAAACTACAAATTACTACATACGCCAAGGAGGTTATGTATTCACTGCTGTCTGTTAGCAAGATCACGCAAAAACTAATGAATTGATCATCATGAAATTTAGTGGAATGGTACATAAATAATCAAAGAAAGGCACCTTTCAATTTTTGGAAGAACAGGTCAAAGGACAAGGTCAAGGAAATTAAATTTTTGACACTCAAGCATTAAAGACAATAATGGAATTGCACCTTGCATTCAAGCAGCACTCAAGAAACAAATGTGCCTGAATATGGTGGGCGATTCCATTATTTTCTTAAAGGTAGATTGCAGTTTCACCGATCATAAACGGCCTGGGTATTGTAGTGCTGTATTTAGGCATAGGGCAGGGGTAAGCAATCTATGGAATGACGTCTCTAGTTTTGCATGACATGACGCTAGGGAATCATGTCATGCAAACGACAATGATAATCCTCCTAGCATGCTCAGATGACGTAACGTAATTATGTTTTAGATGTTACTGTTGTGCAATCAAATGCTCCCTAATACACACGATGTGTTACATCAACATGTGTCAGTGTGAGGGTTACTTTAGTTATTTTATATTTAAAAATGTAAAGCCCTTCTCAGACCATCAAATTTTAACAGAATCCTGTGACATGCCCAAATATGGTCATGATGACATCCCATTATGACTATATACAGGCGTACAACAGTTTTTTTGTCAAAGGAAATAGATAATCTGGACAGCACTTTACATTTGTATTACATTGTTCGTGATCATGAATATTTATATGTTTGCATGCACATCGGCCATGTTTTAGGGTTTTATCTTACCATGCTCTGCATTGCTGATGTTGTCGATTGGAACAAAGACATCTTACTTGGCATTGATACTTCTGGAGTATTAAGTTCTTCTAGTATATTTTTAGCATTACTCATTTCCTCTGCAAAGAAATACAGAAGTTGTAAAGAGGGAAGATATGCACCATAGGGGGAGGCGTTCACATACAATATTGAAGTTACAAAATTGCGGCAATGGTTCATTGGCCTATACATTGTATTGCTAATACATCTCAAAACAGCTTAAAATGACCCCAGATTGAGAAGACCCAAGGGCCTCAACCAGGGTCTCACAGTACCTAACCAATTTCACTTTAAAAGCATTTATCTCCCTGGTATCTATGTCTAGTTATTAGTCATTACTGATCCCAATGTTTTCAAATGTGCACTCAAGACTCACTTGTTTGCCAAGTACCACCAACATTACTTTTCTGAGTGTTGTATCTGTTGTACGTTTTGTGTTGTGCTTCTCCTGTTATTGTTTTAACATTATCAATGTTGTGATTTTGTGTTTAATGCTATACAGTACATGCTGTCCGAGTCCCTGAACTATGAGAATTAGCATGCGCTTTACAACCCCAAGAAATAGGCACATCATGAATGCCATTACCAGTACTGGATTAGGACTGTGGGTTTTAAGTAATATAAGCTGAATGTGGGTCTCTAATACCTACCTCAGTATTTTAATATTCATCAAATCTTTGTGAAATATATCAATATCAAATTAATAATTAAGAAGTGCAAATATATAACTCGGCCAGCAAAAATTGACCCATAATCAATTAAGTACACAATTACTAGCCGTGTACAATAGGAATATGGTGGTATTGTTTCCCTTCCCGTAGGCTTACCTGTATACAGCTGGTTAACAATAACCAGGTGTAATAACATGCCTAATGATAATATGTAATGAATTTAGACCGGAATTGGGTGAATACGATACAAATTGCCAAGAACAACAGTCCCCTGGAATGATGAGTATTCAAGCACTTTGTAGTCAAGTTATTATATTAAGTCTTCCTCAGTCTAGCTTATAATCTCTTATGTAGCAGCTGGTTTATAACCAGGTATTTCAACACTATCCACAGTAACAGTTGGCACGCTATAACAATTTTCATTTTAAAAATATTCTGGGTTCATCTATAAACTTAGTTATTTACTTTACTTTTAACTGAAAATTGGTATGAGAAAATAATCACCTTATTGTAATTCCTTATTTTTCTTCTAAATTTATTTGTTTCTCGAGTTCAATTTTATATCTATGATTGCAGATTTTCTATCTGCAATGCCACCGTAATTTAGATCTATTATGATCTGACCTGGTTTGATTTTTCTATTATTTATAATGATTTGGACTGAATAATGATAAAATTTAAACTAATTCTCTGTAAAATAACTTACGGTCTACATGTGCAAAAGCGCAGAATGGGCCACGTGGACAGTAGCCTGTTTGCTGCATATCGTTACATTTGGTCGACTTGTAGATCTCCGGATGAAACTGTTGTTCAGTCCTAGTGTGGCAATATAAACAATTGTCCCCTTGATCACAGTTAGAAATTTCACCCCACTCGTCACCATGCTTCACATTAGGACAGGGTGTTGACCTATCAAGTAAAATATATTAGCATAAATTAACAATATAAACAATTTAATAATAATGATGATAAAACAGCACTTATAATGTGCCATCTATCTAGCATGCTATTCCGAGTCGCAGTGACTCTTAAGGGAAAAAAAATTGATTTAATAAAATGCAGATCGATTAGGTGATTAATATTTGCAAAAAAAGAAAAATATTATTTGGAACACAGTAGAAACACTAAATAGGACCACACATGTTAAGAAGCCAAATTTATTAAAGTACTATTAAAAAACCAATCTCTATTATGGGACCATTCTAGTATGAAACCATATTTTCTCCTGCCCAGTCTAATTTTAAAACTTGGTAATGACAAATAAGCACACATGAATTATGGGTCCCTATTTTTGGCATGCTATCCCAACACCAGCGTACTGTCGCCAATTGTTAAACTGAGTATTAATTAGCATAAGAATGTGAAAGTATTGTATAATCAGCCCATGAAATTTGGGAAAAATGTTGTTTTATTGTTTGTTTTATCGTTATCTTTGGCAGAAATATCACTTTCGTAAAAGCTACGATCGTATCATCACAGGCTGCTTCAAAACTGCCCATGCATGTCCATGCGCATGCCCAGAATGATCTATCAGGGATTTTCCACACATGTATAGTACTTGTCAGTCTCAGTAGTGAAGTCACGATGCGATCGTGATCGCGTTTAAAACGGACGGTATTAGGCCTACAATATGTTTTGTTGTTTTTAGATAATAAACAACATTTTAAATATGATAATAATAATGTAAAATGAAGACAAATAATAGATTTAGATAAGTATTACGATCTACGCGGCCCACGTGTCTTCAATTGGGCGATGTTGTGGGCCCTGGCTGGCTAGCGTCGTTTATCTAGGCCTAGCCTACGAAACGATTAGGCAATAAAGACAAAATGATTGTACACAAATCGTACGTACTGCATGCCTATTATTGCATGCCAATAGTTCTTGTACAAACAAATCTGTTTTATGGACCATCATTTCCTTGGTTTGACGACGTACATGAATTTAAGTGTCTGCTATAGCCTGTTTCAGTCGAAGTTTTTTGACTTTCCAAGCAGTTTTTGAAGCAAAGAAATCTAGGCCTAGGTCGGCAAAAAATTGCAGATTGCATTCATGGGCTGTATAATTCAGTAACACTTTTACTCATAACTTAGGCGATAGTAAGTCAATTCCAGTTTAAGACCCATCATTGTATGTGGAGAATATGAATATATTAAAAAGTCAATTTTCATGATTTTGTCACTGATGTTAGTTTTAGCATGGCAAGCCCCATTTGTTGCACCAATTTTGTACCTGTAACATCGAAGTTTCTTTGGGCTTCTTCTTCTATCTCTAGCATTGTGGTAGTGAGGACAGGCATAGCCTTGTCTGCATAACCTAGGGGGCTTCTTACATGGTTCTGTCTTATAGTAGGCTAAAACATGATTTGTATCTGAAAGTAAAATAAAATATTATATCATTAATAGCTTTCACACAATAGCTGTTTAATACTAATTTTTGAAACAATAGCATCCAAGTTTCAAATGTATAATGCTTTGATTTTCAAATAAATAAAAGGATAAATCCTGTCCGTAATGAAATTAAAAGATAAAAAATTCAACTTTGTTTATTTTACTTTGTTTACTTAAACAGTTATTAGCTCTTACAATTTAAACTTGAAAAAAAGAAAATAGATTTCCTTGTGAACTATCAGATATTTGTTGCATAGAGCCTTTATTGGCAGACAATAATCAATTTAAGGATTTTGGTAGTAAAGAATTATAAATCAATAAAAACTGAATCATTTTGATTTGTATTTCATTGAAAATTGTTTGTTTGCGTAATACTTTTAAATGAGCAATTATATTTCAATACAGACAATATAATTTAAACATATTATACATTTAGTTGCCATTGAATCTAGGCCTTAACCTAGATAGTACGGTAGATTGTAAACAAATATAGAAGTGAAACTAACATTGTATTATTGTTATTTAAAATCATTATCATCTCATACAAATTGTAGCCTTTTGTCCTTTACGGTACATATTTTTTCTTACTATGAAACAAATCTTTTAAGAACTAAGTCCTAGTCCCAAACAACAGGGTTGTACTGTAGCTATAAAAAATGAAGGGTGAGTGGTGGACAATTTAAGGGTGGGTAGATAACAACATTGGTGAATGCTAAATAATATGAGTGTAAGGTGGGTGGGGGTGCCATGAATTTAGTTTTAGACTGGGTGGAAAACTTCAAGGCTGTGTAGCCCCACCACCATAACTACATCATTGTAAGAAATCTAGATTTCAACATAATTTTATATTGAAGAAAAGGTTAAAATCAATTGAATCATATAAATTTGAAATTAGATAAGATTATTAAAATCAAACTTCAGTAAAGTGTGTTATAATTTTTACAGGAATTAACTGCCAGACACTGCAATACATAGTACTGGAAAATCCTAATTGTCTATGAGCTATTATTAGATGATCATTGACCTCTAGTTTTTTATAGGTCAAACAACATGAATTGGAATTGATTTATCACATAAAATATGATAGAATGACCTAAGCTATTACAAAAATCATATTCCATATGAATTTTAGACATCTCCATCTGTTCTATTTCTCTTAATTATCATAATAGAACATGAAAAATAATAGTTTTTCATTAGCATGTAAATAGAGAAACCACTTCCTGATTTTGAGCTAAAATATCATTTATTGGCAAAGTGCCAATAGTTAAAAACATTCACGGACTTCCCCTGATGACTCAGGAAATTTGTTGGTAACGAATCAGGAATGATGTGATATTTGCATAGGTCAAACCAAGTAGGTCGGCCAAGCTATGTTGTCTGACGACCTATGATGTTGAATGCTGAATAAGAATGCCAACGTTACGTAGGCGTTCTTTGTCTCGACCAAATGGTTTATTAAAGAACAGGAACATCCGTGTATCAAAATCATCAGACAATTAAAAACCTTATTTGATGCCAATAAAAATACAACTTAATGTGTATTCAATTGATTTTAACATTTTTATCGAAATTTTAATTAAAATTTTACAAAATGCAATACAAGATTGATAAAAAATAAAATTCTGTGACTGTATAAAACACTTCAAATGTGTGTATCTGAAAGGGTAATTTGATGATGGGGATGGGGCCACAATGTACATAAGAACGGAATTAAATTTTATACATGGGATCAGTCATTTCCTAATTAGGCAACAGAGCGTTTCTTAATGAGAATGACCAAGTATTGAAAAATGCATAGGCCTTCATTCACAGGGGGAAAAAAAAAATCATTCTCTATAAAAAATATGATCCTGTTACTATTATGAAAGTATAAAATATACTCCGAGTATTAAAATGCGTGCCATTGTGTCGGGATTCAATATTTTTCATCATCAGGAATCAGCAAGATAAGCTTAGTTATATGGTTAATTGTCACATTAATCCAGGCTCTGGAGGGGAAAAATTTATTGCTTTTTTTTTTCTAAGACACAAAAATGGTGTTTGATGAAAGACTTGAGAATGGTTAATGAGATATTGATTTTTGAATATTTAAAAAATGGAGGAGAAGGGACATAACCACCCCTTTTTTCCACCCTTCCCTCATTTTTTAAATATTACAAAAATCTGTATCGCATTCACTGTTTTCGAGTATTTTTGTTTCTTTATACAACATATCAACATTTTTCCCCTCCAGCACTGGCTTTGAAGACCAAATTTAATGCGAATTGATGTAGCCTAGTGGTCTACCATGTTTATGAAGCTAGATACAAACGTTTTCAAACACAATTAAATTATGACACCAATTGAATTATTGGATATCAATTCCGACAATAACAAATGTATGTCTAACTACAAGAAAACTGAAATATAGCATACCTTGCCATTTAGGGTCATCGACCTGTACAATCTTATCCTTATCAGCTATACTAAGAGTTTGACTTAAAGAGCTGCCATTGGTAGATGAGGACTCCGACGAGACCGGTTGCTGCTGTTGCTGCATATCCTGCTGTGCCATCATCTCTCGGATGTCGTACACGGGTTGACGTAGATCGTGCGGCCCATGAGCAAATGCGCAGTGAGGGCCATTCTTCACACAGTGACCCCTGGCATCTGTTTCGTGTACACACGTGCCAGTCTTGTAGTATCGAAGATGATATCGCCTTTCGGTATCACCAGTGGTACGATGTAAATAGGCACAACTAGAAAAAGAGGATACAGCATTAATATTAGAATAAAAATTAATAGGGAATTGAAATATACAACATAATAATGTGTATGTTGTACTGTGCGTCTTTATTTTACACACTACTGTATTATAAACAGTGTATTAAGGTCAATTCAGATAGGAAAATATCAACTGTATCGCAACATAACTTACCAGAATAGTGAGGAGTCGGGTATACAGTAATAAAACCCCATTGACAATGTGGAAAGCAAGAGTGGGTTGACACAGTGCATGGGGAAATGGATAAACTAGGTTAACGTCTTAGTTATTTATATACTTCTATTCTTGTATTAATCATAAGTACATACAGTAAAATGTCCATTTTACGAATAGTCAATTTTACAAACAGTCTTTGCTTCTGATGACGTCATCATCGATCAATTAATACCGTTAAAAAAAAGTCTGATTGCTAACGTCCTACAGAAAGTGATAATGTATGTTTTTCTTAATAAAATCAAGTTTGTTGTATTTATTCAATAATAGTTCGATCTTTTCTTCTATTTCTGCTATAATAATCACAATATCATGATATAAACATAACCAAAACAACGAACTACCAACGCAAGTGCCGTCAGATTGAGCACACATGTACATTTACAATGATGCATAAACAAGAATGTTGGGGTCAACAACTTATTGACATCATGAATGCTAGGTGATTGCAAAATGCATGTAAACAACACAATTCGGCCATCTAAGAACTAGAAAGAACACGATAGAATGGTCCATAAAACATACAGATGTTTTAATAAGAGTTAAAATATATTTTGTTAAGTGAAAAAATGCCAGTGATTACATTAATTTGGTTTTTATCGAAGTTAAATTCCGCTAGGCTCTAGCGAGGTAGACCATGCTCCTGCACTGTTGGTTTGTGCTAGGCCTGGCCGCAGTCAGCCTATTGGTGATAAATGGCAGAGGATAGCTAGGCCTAGGAAACGGACACCCGATCTACTGCAGGTTACAAAAATTTTCAATTTACGAACACCCCTTGGTAGCAAGGGGTACGTACGTAAAGTGGACGTCTTGCTGTACTGCATGTTATTTTTATTAATGTTAATAAATTAATTATTTAATTTAAGCTAGTTAACATTATTATATTTAGTTTGCCAAGCTTAATTATTCAAGTCTCACAGTTAGGAAATTATCATTATTGTGTGAGTGGTTTCTTCAGAATAAAAATACTTTTTTCAATATATTATTTAACTAAGACAGACCATTGCCCAAAGGAGAATTGGGTATTCTTATACTAAACCCACTGGGATACTACAGTTGTGGATTACTAAAATTGATTAACTTTTACAATGATGATGGTATTCCTATTCTAGAAATGAGAATTGTGTACAGAAGAATAGAACCTTTGATAGAGTAGTTTCAGTTTGTGTTTATGTAGCATTTTTCCCTAGAAACGTTGCATGCTAAAACGAATGCCATTAAAGATGATTGAATATAACAAAATTGTTGTTTTGTGATATAACACTAACAGTATTATGTTATTTCTTTAAAAAATTATGTTTTGTTCCATTATCAAAATGGTAGTGTTGAGCAGTTTATCCGATATTGGATTATGATGTCAAAACATTTGTCAAATTATTAATGTACAGTAGGTTATTCTTTTGAAGACATAATAAGTGTGCTATAAAAGCAATGAAATGGTCAAATAGCTAAAATTTTTGGATTTCAAAGATTTAATAGTATGTCTCATTGATGTACCTAAATAAAATTCTCCACAAATGTCATTTGAAGGTTAAAGTTTGTTATAAAAACATTGTAAGTGTGCTATAAAAACAATGAATTGGTCAAATAGCTAAAATTTTATGAATCCAAAGATTTAGTATTATGTCTTATTGATGTGCAGTACCTAAATGAAATTCTCCACAAAATGTCATTGCAAGAGGTCAAAGTTTGCAATGGAAGAAGCTATGTAAATAAAAGGAGTGGAGGTATAATTACTGTAGGTGATAAGGCCAAAAATGTGTTTTTGTTGCCAAAAGAAATTTGAAAATTTCAAGGTTGTATAGGTTTGGTTGGATTTTCTGTATGTTGTATTTTCTTATTGTTGGTTGATTTGCCATCAGAGCTAAATAGATTTCCCCCAACAACTAAATTTTAATCCATTGTATAAAATTGTTTATATTAAAAAAAAAGCAAACATTCTAAGATTCTAGGTAAAATAAGGAAACTTTAACTAGTTCCTTGTAAGCAAACATTACTATCGCTGATAAGCATTGTACTTTAGATTACTATTTAAAATTTTCTGTTATAGGCATAATTTTTTTTTTGTAATTTTATGCTTTTTATATCATCATTATCCATATTTTTTTTTAGTTTTGAAGTTTGTTTTGTTGAGAACACCAATCTTATTTCTTTTATTCTACTTGGGACAAAAATGTTATCTTTATAATTATCTCCTTAACTGTTTTTCACATTAAGAAACACATCCTAACATCTGCCACTTAGGATATTTTATATATCTTTATAAATGCAGTGTTCATTGTTATTAGTCTATTGTGAACCTAGCAAGATATACAGACTCTTAACCTTAAAAACACAGTGAAACAAAGGATATTTTACTAAGGATCTGTTTCTGAATTTTAATGCATTAACCATTGAACAGAGAGAGTATAAATTATCAGATATTACTAATAAAAATATACACTTTTTAATAGCCTTGCCTAGTTCAACTTAAATTGATTATACCTTTTATGTCTAAAGAATTATACAAGTTTCTAAACCACAGATTGCAATAAAATCTCAGATTTTAAAAATTTAAGAGGTACAAATTAATATAAATATAATGGGATACTCTCATCATGTAAGGCTTAGGACATTTTTTAGCCGTGAAAAAAAAAATTAAGACAATGGCAGGATTTGAACCGAGAATTTTGGGGTTAACAAGGTAGGCACCCTGGATACTAATCTACATTCCGCTACATTCTGTTCAGATATAAAACTTAATAAAGAAATTTAACAAGGACAAAAGTTTATAAAAAAATGAAGAAAGATAACCCCACTTAGCCTGTAAAATGTTGATGGTCCTGGGTTAGCAACAAATACTGTACAGTACATTAAAACTAGAACTAGACCAATATTCAATAGCTAATAATATAAGGGCTAGCAACTTGATGGGATTGTTGAAATTGCTGTCGAGCAGGTCTCTTGAGAGTTATGACTGAGTATTTCTTTAAAGGCTAATTTTACAGAAAATCAATAAGTAAATATAGACATTCAGAGTAAAATATATGTTTGCTTAATATCAATGCATCAAAATATTTCAGTAATCAAGCACTATTAATTCATCTCAGGATTTCCGTGGTTGATTTTCTCCTTCGTTTTTCCCGATAAACTTTAGATTTGATGTAAAAATTCAATAGGCCATAATATCGTAATTCAATTACAATGTAAACTTGTAATGATTAGTTTTTCTGGTTTAATTTCAAGATGTACATGGTTAGCCGAGGGTGGGAAAAATTTTGTTTTCTTATTCAGCAAATAGTTTTGCCAAAAATATCCAGATAGATAGGAAATAAGATTAAAATTTTATTGGTGAAAATAAACAGTGTAGTCAAGAAATGGCTAAATGCTTTAAATTTATATAAGGAAGAAATACACATATTATTTTTAAAGATTTCAAGGCAGCGGTGGGCGTAATAAAAAATAAAGAAATTTCGGCACATATGTCTTTAATTTGCTAAATTTGACACCGATTTAACAAAATGCTTTAGCTAGATAACCATCCAAAATTCTGCAACTATTTACTGTACTATCGCAGATAATTCACAGAATTCATAAAATTATAAGGATCGTAAATATTTACAGACAGGACTCGGATCAAAATATGTTCTAGATTTAGTATGAATTACCAATGTTTACCAAGGTATGCCTGGTGTTATATTCTACACTTAACTCCTTACTACAGGCGTTATGCATAGGACTTCAGCTTGTTTATTTAATTGACCATAAAGAGTTAGTGATGAGGAATAAACATCAAATGCCGACCAGCCAATGATAATTAAGGATAATAATAATAATTCCGGACACTTCCTTAGTGTCTTCCGGACACTTTATTAGTGCAGGCATGGAGGTATTTTATACCTCCATGGTGTACTACATAGGTGTGTATCATTGGGTGTCCATGGCTTAATGGAGTACTAATGAGTAACAGAAGAAGTAAAAGATTATATTCAAAGGTCGGAATAACCTATGTAGTGGATTGCTCTGCCTGGTGGTTTTGAGGTCAATATAGTGAGAGGGAATCCCTACTATTATTTGCCTGATGAACTACCCAAAAATGAAGGGATGATTTAAACACTAAATTATGAATAAAAAACAAATTGTTTTTATCACCTGAAAATCAGACTCATTTTTATGCCCACTCCTGAGATTTTGTAGTGCCCTTTTTTTAGAAGCCGTTCACAATTATTAACATTTTCTCAAGTTTACAAACAGTACTCTCTTTCGGTACACTCTCCCTCCCCTCCGAAAGTGTACATAAAAAAATACTGATTTTGCAAAACCCTTCTCTATTTTTTTCAACTAAAGTTTTATATACTTGGTTGCATAAACATGTCTAATTATATCCATGGTTGCATTGTAATTGGTCATAAAAATCTATTATTTAAAAATATTGCATGCTATTTTTACATTTTCATGCATGTAAAAGGGCACACATTTGTCTACCCCTCCCCCTAGCGTACTGTTTGTACACTTGTGAACATGTTGATAATTGTCAATGACCAATTAGTGAAACGGTCCTAATATAATATGGCACTAATTAGCCAGCCATACTGTATCAAAACACATCTAACAATTTCTCCTCCAAGTTCCACATGTTGTTTAAAATTTTGACTCTACACAGGAGGGGGAATTTTTCTGGAACCCCCTCCCCTCTTGGTAAGATTTTGAGCGAGGGATTAAATGGAGCTGCTACTACATTTTCTTATCAAACACTCTTACTAAACATACTTGAAGAAATTTATTCATTAATAAAATTTTCAATTATATTATTTTTATTCACGGTGTTGGACGCTTGATTTCGTCCATCCTCAAACTGGGTGCTTCAGACAAAGCCATTTTGCTAAAATGTTGAAAACAACAGAGGAGAGCAATTTTTTCCTTGCTCTCCTCTGACAATCTTTCAAACATAGTCTACAAAACCAAGATTGAAAAAGTCTCACAATACCTAGTGTTTGTAATGGTCAAACAAAATAAAGGTGAATTAAGGACTGGGATTATTTTTATGTCTTATTTGGGAATAAAAATTTACATATAAATTTACTTTCATTGTAAATACATTGATTAACTCTTTCTGATAGATAAGCACTACAACAGAGAATAGTTAAGTTTCGATAGGTTCATCACCACAAATTTTGGTAATCAACAGTCACTAAAATTCAATTAAATTATTCTCTCTTTTATTATTTATTCTTTATTGTATTTAAGGGTCCTCATCAATGGAAATATAAGTCTTTCCGGCTTTCCTGAGTTATCCTTGGACTTTCGCCATCATAGTGTATGTTTTTTATTTATCATTTTATTGTTTTTTTGTGTGATTTGAGATTTTCTGAATAAATTCATTCTCTAATTGTCTAGGCCTACAGATTATCATAACCATGCCATAATTATTACGGTAATTCCTTACATTAAATAAGGGGTATACAAGTCCAAAACAATTTTTACAGAGCCTACAGTATCTCGTCCCATGGGCCTCCAGCAAGGAAATAGGGTATGTCATTAGCCTCCGCAAACCTTGAACCCAAATGAACCCAACAGAAATGCATAAAGTACAAGCCGATGACAGATATTGGACAGCATTTTCTATCAAAACTGATTTAAAATGTATCGACAGAGTGTTTCCCAAAATACAGTAACGGTCTACACTGTAATTAGAAATGATGGACTTTAAAGTTTGTATACTTATCTTATAACGTTCTGTACATGCCATAACTTACTTTGTTTACTTTATATTTATTTACCATGCACCTTGTTTTATATTGTGTATTTTTTAATTAAGTTTATCTTCTTTTTATGAAAGCACTGGCAACTGAAATTCATGTGAACCATGTTGTGCACAATGACAATAAATTATCTTGTTTCTTTTTTAGGACACACTGTAAGACACCTATCTTACCTATATAGCAAATATCAGGAAATAAAGACATACAACCAATGTAAAGGTATTAAATACTTAAATAATAAATTTATTGTCTTTACTATAGGGTCATTTACCTCAAATCAACCATGCACTGATGTCACAGATTGTCTTAGACAAAATTTCACAATCACTTGTAATATGGGAAAATCTAAAATGTGAACTTTGTATCCAAGTTATTATGAGACATGCATTATAAAAATGTGTGGTTCACCCATTCATTATAATTGTGACTACAAATGAGGCATGTCATGGCGAAATGGTTAAGTTGTCGCACCAGCAAGGATTGAGTAAATGAGCTATAAAATACGGGAGCTCAAAAAATTGCCTAAAAATCCAAATTTGTTTTTCACTATAGATCAACAGTTTAATGTCTTATTAATCATGTCCCAAAGTGGTCAACAAATCGTTTATTTAACCTTATTTTGATAGTTAATTCTATTAAACAAGACAGTATAATTACATACTCCAAGTATTAAAATGCACGTCAACCTGTCGGGATTCAATATTTCGACATTAATTATGTCATCATCTATTAAACAATGTATGCACAAATAACTTTGTAAGGCAATTACTCAAAATCATGTTTATCTTCACTATAGGTGTGCTGTACATTCACTTTCCTATAACTTAGGCTTGAAATGTCCAATTTCAATGAATGACCCCTCATTTTAAAGATCACATATACAGGTATCTGAAAATACCAATAATTTAAATTTCAATTTTTGTTACAACTTAGTCATTTTGCCATAACATGCCTCAAATTATGTTATTGGTCACTTTATAAACAAAATTATTAGTAAATATTTTAAAGTAAAACATTTAGGCAATGAAACAAGAATCAATCTAAAAATCAATTTTTTTTCCCCGGTAATTTTATGATACTATATTTATTCGCATAAATGCATTTATTGTTGAGAAGGGTTTTTGAGGGGACCTATTTGAGGGAGGTGTTTATTCAAGGGACACTTATTTGAGGGACGAGTTAATTCTTTTTAGTGTATAAAATGGACGAACGTATATACTCAAATTAACACCCCTTAATTCAACTGCAAATGTGAAACTACAATGCATAATTACCATCAAAATGTTTTATTGTATGATCATAAAGACTTATTGATCCCAATTTTGAGACAGAAAATACTCCTGCATTCACTGCAATGGTTTTTGCACTCCGGAGAGCAGATGAATTTGAAGCTCGCATAGGTAGGCTGCAAACCAACTTGCTCTCTGTTCTTAAAAACGATTTATTTGATAGAGGTCTTTTATTAGAAAATTATAATGATTTAGTTTATCTTAGAGAACTTGCCTCAAATCGAAACTTATGGATTAATTTATTCTAGAAAGTTAAATTATGTTTGAAGTAGAGACAAATATTATACATGTACATGCAGGACTTTAGGGATGTATATTTAAAAGGGGGGGGGGGGAACCATTTATTCGAATAAATATAATATGTACTGTATCTTTCCTATTATGATTAAAAATTACTGCAGGTGGATCTTTGCTTCCACATTTTGTGTCTAATAGTAATAGAAGTTCTTAAATAGTGTTCCATCAAGATAACTCCATTTATTGTGATTTCTCTATTTTGGAAATTCCAAATACTATACATGTCCATTAGAGTGAATAATTAGATTACTAAAATAAACAATTGATTATTTCAATCGAAAATATATAATACTTAGTAAAGTGAATATTCTGTTTTTTATATTAAATGTTTTTAAAGTCATTATCAATTACAATCAAATACTTCTATCTTTTTTTTATCATTTATGATTAGACTAGGCCTAGAAGAATATTTGACCTACATTCATTAAATAAATAAAAACCCTTCTTTTTTATTTCAACTATTTATTTACAAGAAAATATGTGTAGAATACTGTTGCTGAATAACTCTCTCAAAATAAGGTTAGAAATGTTCAAGAGAAACTAAAAAAATAGTGTTGAGACTCGAGCGAACGTTATCCCCACCTGGCCTGCCATGCAGCGCTCAACACTGAACACAACCACACACACATAATGCGCGCCTAATCCAAATCGCCGTAAGTTTAAAATACACAGATTTTAAAATGTAATTTACTTTATAATCTAAGCAAATGCTATCAAAATTGTACCAACAATTAATTAAACAAGGGTATTTTATTCTATCTGTAGGTATAAAACAGATAATGATAGAAAGATAAGTGCAATTCATGAACGGCAAAACCACGGTACTCGACTCGAGTGTCAACAACATGCAGTAAACCTACACAATATGGCGACCACAATAACAACCACTCGTCCAATCGAAATGCGAAAATTCAAAATAGACTTACTCTTCTCCATCGGCACATAATCCTGTAGTTTCATCATATTTCGTACAATAAACATCAGGACTATAATTAAATATTCCATCTCGTCTACGAATAGGTCTTCTCCGCCTTTGATTCATAAAATGCCAATGAAAACATGTAAACGGCCGATGATTTGGGCACTTGTGCTGCAAAAAATCTTGGCATTGTTGAGTTCGAAACTCCTTTAGGTATCTGCAAATTTAATCACGTTAAATTGGGTGAATATCCATGACAGTTGTAAACTATTGATCTTAAATGATTAAAGAACACAATTCAATATAATTATAAGACTTACGTGTAATGAAAAGGCTTTTCAGGCTGAGTTGTTAAGTTACTATTAGCAGATTTCTGCTGCTCGGACGGCATCTTGCCAAAACATTACAAGCCCGCGCATATGCTACTGCGCATGGCTCTTACCAGGCTGATCATGACGTCAATAATTAATTGACAGATCAATGAAGTCACGTGACGGGGAATCCCAGCATTTGTAGGCGTTTCGCACGTGGACTTGTTTACGTTCTGAATTTTGACTCAAATACATATTCAGACTAAAAGATATCAACACATACGTATAGTGAATTATCCAGCAGTATTACGTCATCAAACCAACGTTGAATAAATGAGCAGACACCTAGTATAATACGGCCTCCTCGACAATTTGAACGAGGATATCATATGGTATATGCAATGCAAGTGACATTTAATATAATGATCGTCTGAAATTACAATATTAACTGCATTTTTTTAAATACATTTTTCCTGAATTTTACACGATTGTTTCCGAGGATTCGACTACCAAGTACTATTCAATAGTCACCTATACTTATTTTTATTATGTATTACGGTACTTTAGGCAGGGAGTTGTTCACTATAACTCCCTGCTTTAGGGAAGGGCAACAAAAAGTCGAGAGACACTACAGTACTTGAATATCTGATTCTTTTCTACTGTATTATACAATGCTATAAGCAGATTAAGTTAGTCTCGTGCTCTGATACAACGATATAATCAATCAATGGGAATTTTTGGGGAATGGAGGTCAGGAAAATATATGAATAGATAATAGAAACACGTTAATCGTTTCCCTTACAGGTCACTGGAGTTTTGATGAGGAATGATTTGTAGTAGCCTTGTAGCTTATAGCAATGCATGAGTTTATAATACAACTTGTGTGACTGGGTGGGGTAGGAGTGGGTATGACGCGGGCGCGTCATTAAGTTATTAAAATAGCTGCTCAGTCAATTTGTTGACAAGTGTCTTTCAATCGTCATGTGCGTCCTCAGTTATTGTTTTGACTAATATTTTTTGTGTGTTATCAGGTAGGGTTATGACTAATAAAACATGAAATTAATGAAATGGCTCCGTTTTGGAATCAAGCGAGGTCGGCCCAATAGAATAAGATTGAGAACTTTCGAGTGAGTTTCTTGTAGGAATTGATAGCAAGCACACTATTAAAATACACAATTCGTGCACTGTTGTTTAGACCGCTAAAAGTCATGAATTGTAGGCCTACTTCGCCAAATGTCCTATCCTGGGGTGCGGAGGGAGGTAAAAATTACCGTAATGTCGATTTTTTTACTTACAAAAATTAGCTCGTTTACAAAATTTCGGGAGTCACTAAAATGTATTTTATAACATTTATATAGGCCCTCTGCCTAACCAACCCCATGAGAGTACGAATATGTGCTGTCCAGGCAATTCATTTAATTAACATATTAATGTTCGATTTTCCTAAATTGCTTAATACTATTCATTTAAATTCAACAGTATAAATAATGAAAGGCGTGACTGCGCAATTAATTATTGTTCATTTTTTCCTTTATTATAGTGGTTATGTAATGTCTGTTGTTATTTTGTTTCATTGAAGAATAAGCGATCTGATTGGTTGCTGTTGTCAGAGGCGCAACTAGCATTTCCTCGATTTCTCCCCACGTGCTGTCCATTGTTTTGATTTGACAGCAGACGCAGCCCAGGTAGTGGCAAGAAAGGGAAGTCAGCGCATCAGTCACAGGTGTTGACAGACGTTCTGTTTTAAACAGGTGCCTAAAAGTTGTTTTTTTTTTATCAAGAACTGATATTTTCGAATTTACATGAAACTTTTATACTTTTTTAGCTGTTGTTAATATGTTATATTTTGTTGAATATCTAGGCCTATCGCTCTATGAAATGAAGCCTAGGCTGGTGCAGGTAGCTAGAGAAGTAGGCCCACATTTAAAGGCAAGCGGGGATAGGGCTAGGCGTGAGGCTAACCTAATCAGTCTAGCCCCATGTGATGCTCAACCTATCAAAATAGCTAGGCCAGGTCGTTCGCTTGGTTTCGTCACGGCACTGACTGGGTGTAAGTGTGATAAGTCCTGTGTCACAGATCAGAGTATAGTTACTAGTTACTGAGTGTTCTTATTTATCTCCTGAATTTGCTCATCTTATCATAATTATGGCGTGCCTGTCTACTACAACAGGTGTTTACCATTATTTATATAAACAACTCCCTGTTTTTTCGGGAATAGAATATTTGCAGAATATTCTTTGCACCCCAAAGAATAGTCTTTCTTCATGGGAAAGCATATTTACAAATATTCTTTTCCCCATAATTTTTTAGCAGTTTCAAATGAATTCACTTGTTTTTTCAACATTAAGTTTTCCGTTATGGCATCAGAAAGAGCAACATCACCTACACCGTCTTTAGAAGATTATCGACATGGTTACAGTGATGTCAATTTTGATCCGCTTCCAGATAGAAAATATCTTTGTCCAGTGTGTCTGTCAGTTATGAAGGATCCAGTTCAAACAAAGTGCGGGCACAGATTTTGCCGAGCTTGCATTCTTCGAATAAGTGGGTATGTGACATTAAACAAAATTTTCTTCCTAATAATAATATGAAGTTGTTTTTACCCACAGAATGCAAGATAAAAGTGGTTTTGGTGCAGCGGTAACAGTTTGGTTGCCCAACTTCGAGGTCGGGGTTTCAATCCCTCGCTGTGCATTTACTTGTGTCCTTGTGCAAGCAACTTTATCTGCATAGCTTCTCCCACCCAGGAGGAGGTTTGAGTGCAAATATGCGCCGATATATTTCACACAGCAAACTATGGAATTTCCCCCATGGCATCGTTCCAATGACTGGGATTATATTGTGGAAAAGCGCTCTGAAACGCTCTAGAGCACTATACATAAACATCTACATATTAAGCCTTATTATTATTACCTCATCTATTTGAAGTTGGCAGGAGGTTATGTTTTCGCCTGGTTTGAGTGTCGGCATATTTCTTGTGAACAGCCTACAGCCCATAGTTTTTATAAAATATTTGTCAAACTGGACCACAATGTTCCTTTACCTAAGATCTACAGCTGATTAAATTTTGAAGGGTCAGGGTCAAAGGTCAAGTTCACATTGTCTAATCTCTGCTATAGGTAAGGTGTAAATGATTTGTTCTCCTTTCAATTGCAGACCACGTCAATATGCAAAGTGTCCTGTGGATAATACTTGGTTTTATATAAATGGCGATGTAAGTTGTTGGAATTTTTTTTAAAGTTTCGAACCTTCCAATATACTGGATTTAAGGGGGGGGGGGTGGCGTGAGCTGGCCCTGGCTCCCCCTTTTGGAAAGTCAAAAAGAAAGAAAAAGAAATTATAGATCGGCCAAAACACATCAGAAGTTATTTGTGGGAGTCTAGAAAAAAAAAATTTCGGGGGAATGCCCCGGGACCCCGTAGGGTAGTTTTGTCTCACGATCACCCCCCCCACTCCCTTTCAGCCCTCTTTCGAAAACTCTCTACACCCGCCCCTGAATTATTCTGCTAAGGTTTAATAACATCGATAATATAGCTATTCAAGTAGCGCCTTAATAACTGCTTTGCCAAGAATTCCCTTGTTTACTTTTCCACCTGGTAAGCTATGGAAATTCTTCTGACAAGTACTCAACATTTCTTTTTGTCTTGTGCCGGTTCTTTAAATGTTTTTAGAACTACCATCGGCAACCCATGGGTCACGACCCATGTTTGGGTCATGGAGATTTTTGGAAAGGTTGTCGGGTCGTATCCGGATTTTCAAAAAAAAATATAATTCATTTGTACAGTACATTCATTCTCTTTTTTGTTTAGATGTTCGATGATGTAGCTGTCAGTAGAGAAATATTAGTTTTAAGTTGTATGTGTGATAATGAAAAAAATGGTTGTCATTGGAAAGGAGAGTTATTTTATCTTCAGGTAAGCCTAACCAGGTATTAACTTCATAAATTTATGATTATGGAAGGAAATGGCACTCTTTGACCTAAATTTGATTACATTTTCCTTTTTTCTCCTTTTTTTTAATAATTTTGCAAAATTTATTGGGGACATGGGCTGACTCGGCCCACCCCCTCCCCCCTTAAATCCGCCGTTGCATTCACAAAATTTTTCTGTTTAAACTGACCATGAACGTGCAAAAATCTTTCAATCTGAACAGTGAATGTGCAATTTTACCAAATTAATTCACCCTTTGTCCAATGCGGACATGGCTTTACATCGGCGTAGGTGGGGTTAGGAGGGTGCGGGAGTGCATCTGCGAGTTCCAGAGTGAGTTAAAAGATTTAAAAATTGCCATCAAGTTTTTTCATTGGAATACGGATTTAATTCAGCATTTTCAATTTTTTGGACATTCTGAATTTTCACATCCAACCCAGGATGAAACCAGTCTACACCCCTAATTAGACCACCAAAATGGGGATGCTAGACTTAGCCACCTAATTTCCCTTTTATATTTTAGTTTTAGATTTATATTTACAAATAGATGTACAATGTCATACAATTAAGTTAAAAAGATATGTCAGTTGGAAACGTTCTGGATACTGTGGCTTAGCATTAATCTGTAACATAAGGACATCATCATAGTGTTGAAACGTTAAATTTACATCTCATCAACTAATTGAATAAATGTACAAGTTTTTGTATTTTCCTATTTATATGTTTTCCATTAACACAATCAAGTTATCAAGTAATCAAAATTAATTTTTTTGTCATGTTTTTAGGAGCATCTGGACTTCTGTGATTTCTGTCAAGTCACCTGTCCTAATGGGTGTGAACAGCAATACCTACGACAGCAGAATTCAAGCCATCTACAAGACTGCCCTCTACGGATGGTTGAATGTTCTCAGTGCTGTGAAAACGTCACTGCAAAAGATTTAACAGTGAGTTTCTAAAGTAGTTTCCTGTTTTTTCGAAAAAGAGAATGCTTCTTGTTTCATAGAGATTGCTACAACACAAACAATCCCTTTTTTTTGTTTGTTAGCTTTCATCTGAAAATGAGATGGAGTGGAGTTGAATAGCTTGGTGAGTGGAGTTAGTGGTTAAGGTGCTTGCCTTCCAATCCCAGGGTCATGGGTTCAATTCCTGTCAGTGTTGCTGGGTTTTTTCTCACGACCTCCACTCCCTAAACTTTATATTGAGATTTAGTTTGTGTAAAGCATTTTGTGTGTTTGTCTTGCGTAAGAGATTGTCGCCAACATGTAGGGCAGTGATGTGTTCGCTATTCACAATCCTGGTGCATGTGTTGTGCGTCTAAATAAATAATATAATCTTTGCATCGAAGTTTAATTTTTCTTTTTAGAGGACAAACAATACATAATATGTAAGTTAAGATATTCAGGATTCATATTTAATGCTTTGGTAGTTAATTGAAATTTTACAAGGTACTTCAGATATAAAGGGAAAATATTTTAATGATATTCAGAATCTTTTTTTCCATTTCTCTTTGCAGAGACATCAACTTTTGCTGTGCCCTAAGCTGCCAGTATCATGTGTTCTGTGTGGAAGAAATGGCATCCTTAGAGAAGAAGTAAACAAATATTTTTTTTTTAAATATGAATATTAAAATCATTGTTTCTATAAATTTTAGTTTGATAGTGTTTATTAACTTATTGAAGTGTTGGAGTTGAAAAGGGGGTTATTCGAGCTTATAGCACAAATTAATTCCCCTTCTTTTGATAAAGCAATAATCAATGTCAATTTCATTACTTAATTTAGTTTCCAGAGTGGCAGCAACACCCTCTTGTTGCCCAAAATTCTGGATCGATTCCAGAATTAAGGACATTCAGTTGTCTCCATGCTGATACTTTTATGCAACTTCTGTGACACAAATGTGATCTTCTTGCTAAGCTCTAAAGTTTACGTTCTGTTGGTTTTTTTTTTTATACAATCACCACATTTCTTTGGTGGTTGAACTAATTATTTGTCTGATTCCTTAAGCATTCTACTTTCAGTGAAGAGCCTGTTGAATTCTTTTGTTGACATAATCTTCCATCTCTTTGTTAGTGTTCCTCTGGGTCTGGCTCTTTCATACTTCCTTCCATTGTCAGTTTGGAGTATAACAGTTCAATGTCTGGTTTATTAGATTTTTCCTTCCGCTTTCAGTTTAAAGCACAGTATCTATTTTTATTTATGATGTACAAAGTTTTGAATTTTCAAAATGCATAAAGAGAGATTATTTACTTTAACTTTCAGATACCAAAGCATGTTAGTGAGGAAGGTAACTGTCCAAATACTCCAATTCCATGTCAGTTTGAAGCACTTGGCTGCACAACAAAGGTACGGAACTGTAAAAGAAAAGAAAATCTTTTAGTTTGTTGAGGATCAGCGGCTTTCACCCTTAGATGACCAGGGATTTATTACAGAGATCTGTTGCGGATCCACTGCAGAGTGCTGTGAAGGAACTAATACAAAGTTCTGTGGAGGATCCACTGCAGAGTTACCTTCCATGAGAGAGCAGCTTAGCATGAGAGAGCAGCTTAGCTCAGTCGGCTAATCTGGTGGTAGCCGCTGTGTGTGCGCTGAACCGTGGAGATCTCTAGGTCCCCGGTTCAATTCTCATCGCTGCCTCTCCTTGTGTTTCAGCTAGAGGGCTGAAATACAAGTTACTAGCGCACCGTCTTTCGGATGAGACGTTTAAGCCGTTGGTCCCGTGTGCATTATGGCCCATGTGCATGTTAAAGAACGCAGTGCAATCTTCGGAAAAGAGTAGGGGATTGTCTCCCGGTGTACTGCCCAATCACCACCAGAAGGACCCCACTGGAAATAAGTCTTCTTCTAGACTTTCGTGGGCTATCCTTGGTGTTTACACTGAATAAATCCAATCCTAGAGTTCTAGTGAGGACCTACTGCAGAGTTTTGAATTTTTTATAAATGAGGATTGGACAGATATCGAAGAAAATCATGTTGACATGTGGGTTGTCATCAACTCATGGTTTTGTATGTATAATTGTTGTAATATTCTTGTATTGTATTGACAGGTTCGTCGGTGTGATCTTATACTACACATTCAAAGCAACACTGTAGAACACTTGGCTTTGATGGCAAACAAGATATTAATTCAAGAGAAGCTCATCGAAAAACAAAACACTGAATTAGAGCAACTGAGGAGGACAACTCAATCAAGCCATGCTAGGTATTATGCATTATTCTTATACAGGTCTCCCTCCAATTAAAGACCACTTTTGGGACAGGGGTTTCCATAACAGCTTTGTCTCTAATTAGATCTTTGTCTTTTTGGTTGCCCGAAGTTTTTCCCCGCCTTATTTAATGTTATATGTTGTTAAGTGTATTTTAATTATAATTTTGCCCTACACCAGAAGAAGAGTTTTCATATAGTGATCTTCTTTTTTTTTCGCTTTCCAACAATCTGCCAGACTGGTGTAGTTTTGTCAATTTTATATTTTTAATGTACATTTTATGACTTCTGGAAAATAAATGATTTGAATTGAGCGAAGAAATTTGTTAATATAGGACCACAGAAAGGTGGTCTTTAATTGGAGGGTCTTTAATTAGAGGGAGACGTGTATTTATATTTATTAAATTCTATTCAACAGACTTTACTCTGAATAAAGAAAGGGAGGCCATGACTTAATGTTTCGACCTTTATTGGGTCATCTTCACAAATGATTCCTGAAGATGGCCCAATACAGGTTGAAACGTTGAATCATAACCTTCCTTTTGTTTATTCGGAGTAACATTTGTTCTATGTTATTTAAACATAACCAGTGCATCTGTTGGTTTCTATCTAACAGTTCACTCAAAAAATATGCTGGTAACAATGTTTATTGTATGTTTTACTACTGATATGTGAACAATCCCTTTATTTAAAACACAACAAGAGTTGTGTTAGAAGAGACATTCCATTGTCCTGTGAATCATGGCCTTCGAACATGATAAAGTACATTTTCTCAGACAGAATAACATCGGAATGCATTTCAGTTTAGAGACTAATTCTCACTACAAATACTGTGTATGCTCTACACGCAATCAAGGGGTGGGAATGCCATTATCCTGGGCTCTTGTGTTGCTATAATAGTTTGTAAAGTATTGTATTTGACAACATGCTATTATTACATTAAATCTAAAAGAGATGCCTTTGTGGAAGGCATTTTGGCTCAGTTTTTCTACTCAAGATTTTAACCTTGCATTAGAAGTTCGAACCACACCACACATATACCATTTTCATAGGCAGATCCAGAGGGAGCTGGTCTTCCCCTCCCCCTCCCCCCAACAAGAATTTGGAAAAATGGGAAAAAAAAAAATTACATTCAAAGTTTGAGATTGCCATTTCTGGCTATCTATCTAGAGGTGCTCATGTATGCAATTTTATGTATATTCATAGGAAAGACAGTGAAAACCAAATTTCCAGATAGATTGGACAATGAAATTATCTTGTATTCTGTATGTGAAAACCCCTTACAGTTACTGTGCCTAAAATTAAAATTTTGTTTTGTTGCAATTATGAAAGTGCACTGACCAGTAAATATACGTTATTCAATTGAACGCTTTCAATATTAATGTATATTCAATTTGTTTTCCTTTGTTATCTGTTGTGTCGCATGTTATTTTGTTAAATTTTTAACTTTTTAAATTTTTATCTTTTTAATTGTTTAATTTTTCCAGGTTTTTAACTTTATAAATTTTTATCCTCTTTTTTTAAACTTGTTTGATGTTTGTCAATGCTGTTTATTTTTGTCTGGGATCCCATTTAAAATGAGCCAGCATTTGCTATGTTATGGGCCATCCTGGTTCTCCATTAACCCTGTTTACTTTTAGGTTTTTACTGTTTAAATCGTTTTACTTTTGCTTTGTGCAACTATTTCTGTAATGTTTTTAGTGTTGGAGTACCTAATAAATTCAATTCAATAAGAATGGTTTAAAAATAGAATCGACTGTAACACTAATGACAACTCATTCTAATACAAAAATGAAAACTAACAATAAAGCAAGGAATTGGAAATTTATATATTATTACTGTGCGTGGGAAAATACTATTTTGTCAATACAAATATTGGTGAACTTAAATGGAAAGGTAAAAAAAAAGGTAAAAAAAAAGGTAGTAAAATATATGCATTTTATTTTGGAATCTAGGCAGACGCAAATCCATACATTGAAGTTAGTGCTACTACCCCATTTGAAAACTTCTGGATTTTCCTCTGCTAGGCATATTAATATTGGCGATTTACGGTTAAAAATGTTACACATTACACAAACCATAGATTATAATTCTTTTTGATTTGGCAAGCATAATTGATGGGAATCTTGGAGTTTTTTTAATTACATTTTTCTAACATTAGTCATGTTGTATTCATGGTGTTATGGTTTATTTGTTTCACAGAATTCTGATACAGAGAGAGAAAATAATGGATGACATCAACGAGCGTATAAGTCAGATTGAGATCCAGGTAGATTAATTAATTTGCTTATGAATTGCTTAATTAAAAAAATGACAAATACTTTTAAATTTCTGGCATTAAAACTGTATTTTATTTAATAAAATCTTTCATGCTGTATTTGCAACAAAATTTCTCAGTTTAATTTTTTTTAAAAGACAAATACAATTGGTTTTGGTTTATGTAAGAGTTTATGTTGCTAATAATAATTTATGTTTCTCCACAGAATAGTAACTCAAAAAGGAAAAATACTGAAGCCACATAGAAAACAGCAGTTTCAGATGACAACAAATACTGTGTAATTTACCTTTCAATGCAACAATAAACTAAGTATTCTAAAGCTAGGCA